TCGTTGATAAAGATATTAAACAAGACCGGCCCTAGAACTGAGCGCTGGGGGACACCGCTTGTGACCGGCCACCACCTGGATTTAACTCCATTCACCACAACTCTCTGGGCTTGGCCATCCAGCCAGTTTTTAACCCAGCAAAGAGTACAGCCCGTCTAGGCCACGAACTGCCAGCTCCTCCAGGAGAATGCTGGGGGAAACTGTGTCGAAGGCTTTGCTGAAGTCCAGATAGACAATATCCACAGCCTTTCCCTCGTCTACCAGGCAGGTCACCTGGTCATAGAAGGAAATCAGGTTGTTCAGGCAGGTGCCTTTCATGAACCCATGCTGGCTGGGCCTGATCCCCTGGTTGTCCTCCATATGCCTGGTGAGCACACTCAGGATGAACTGCTCCATAATTTTCCCTGGTACCAAGGTCAGGCTGACAGGTCTGTAGTTCCCTGGATCCTCCTTCCGGCCCTTTTTGAAGATAGGCGTCACATTTGCCAACCGCCAGTCATCTGGGACTTCCCCTGTTATCCAGGACTGCTGGTAAATAATGCTGCATGACCTGACAAGATCCCCGTACTCTTCTTGGGTCGCCTGCCCCCTCTTCCAAAGCTGGTAAGCTCTCCTTTCCTTCCCGAGTCTCAGTAAAAGATCCATGTTCAGCCAGGACGGTCATCTTCCCTGCTGATTCATCTTACGGCACATGGGGACAGCCTGCTCCTGTGCCTTTAAGACCTCTTGCTTGAAGAATGCCCAACTTTTCTGGACCCCTCTGCCCTTCAGGACACACTCCCAAGCGACTCTCCCAACCAGTGTTCTGACTATACTGACTATTTATCTGCATAACATTTCTTTCTTTGTGTGTCAGCTTACAGAAAAACTGAAAAAAAAATTAGAACCTTAAGTCCAAGATCCAATTAATGTTGCACAAAATACAATTGCAGGATCTTGTTTGAAAAATGGCATATTGCCAGTACTGTAGAAATACAGACATCAATACAACAAATACTTACTCTCTAAAATTCCTACTATGGATTTTGGGAAGATTGGAGGTTAGCTGCTTTGAACTCATAGAACCTTCTGTAGATACGTTGAACCCAGTGTTCTCCAGAAACCCCTCAGCAACTTGCATTACAGGAACAGCTATCATGTAAATAAAGATATTTCAAATGAAAAGACAGACCAAAAAGCATTGTGAAGAAACTAAGTTGTCAATTATTTCTTGAAGAGTCATTTCTTCGGTATTACAACAGTCTGTGGTAGTAGGGGAAGAGGTCATATTTTATCTCTTAGTTTTTATTGTTGTACTTCTTTTTAAACAGACTGCCAGAGAGATGCAAAGACTCATATAGCATAAATCTAATAGGCATAAAAGTGTGGAACAGTAATCAGAATCCCAATTACTCAACTACATTGACTATCAGCTTTGGCATGCTTTAAACACTAAATAAGCCCAAGCTGAATCTCAGAAAATTCTGAAGTTACAGTTTTCATTTAGCAGTATTTGCTACACATTTTTGAAAGTGCTAAGTGTGCTCACTCTCTAATCTCCATCTACATACTGTATTATAGCCTTCCCTTGAAAGATACCTGCTTGACTATCCTGTACAAGAGTTTCATCCTCAATAACATTTTCTGCAGACTGACAAGCATTATCTTCATCTTTTGGTACTGCTCTCTGTTCTAACAGGCGTTGCTGTTTTCGTTGTTCTCTCTCTTTCAGAATAATCTAAAAAATATAATTATAAAACCCAAATCAATTCAGTAACAAATAAGTTTCTCTTACCAAGTGTTTATATACAGACCATTCATAAAGAAGTTTGGCGCTATCATTCAAAGTTTACAACATTAGGGTTTGGGTTTTTTTTGATTTGCATATAAAAAGAAGGAAAGATATTCCCTGAATCTACATAGAAAAGGACTTTTCCCTTGATTGCCAATGACTGGGAGTAGAAAATAACTACTAGGGATCAACTACAAGGACAGAACTAAAGTTAGAAGAGATGAATTGCTTCAATGCAGAGAAGCAGGTGAAAAAGTCTCCCTCTTTACCTTTCTTCTTTAGATTATCAATTTGTAGCAATTCAGCCAAACACTCAAGTACATATCTGTGTATATATGTGTGTATACATATATATATGTATATATGCGCACACAATTACTCTTCCCCCTTATTCCCCTGTTAAAAACCTTGAGTCAGTCTGATAGATAGCTGTCTCTGAATTTGCTGGTTGAAGAAAAAGAGAAGAAATTACCATGGAAAGCTAAGCTATACGGTACATGGAAGGAAGGAAAGTAAGACACATGCTGGATCCGAACATGCTGCTGTAAGCAATAATCAGTTTCCTAAAACTCATCTTCCTTCTCTGCTTTCATAGCTGCTAAGAAGCAGTTATTGTATATATGACCACTAGCTCAGCTAATCTACCCAAAATTTGTAATTATACACCACACAATCTAACTGCAAAAGTAAATTTCTCCCTTTGCATTTGTCAAGAATGAACAAAGAACAAAAGTAAGTTCCCTATCAGAACACAGATATTACACAGAGAAAACAATCTTTGTCTTCTCAAACCCACTTGGAAAAATCAACAGCATGAAGATAGAACAGCCAGAAGACAGAGTAATTAGTATCAGCCCCCAGGGTTTGTTATATATGTTGTTTATACTGTACAGTTCTCAAATTCAATTAAGTGGCAAAGGATGACCACTAAAGTACCTTCACTAGCTCTGCAAGAATTGTTTTAGACCAAAAAGCAACCTAGTGATGGACTGGTATCTCAGAAATCCTCTGTACAGAAGACACGACAGGAAGCAATGTGAATGGGCAAAGAGGGAAGATAGATACAAGAGAAATCACCAGGTAGATCTAACATTAGTTGCTGCAGAATCAGCTCAAGTTTTGGCTTGGAAGAGCACAGAAACATTAAATACTACCTTTGTTTGATTCATTTTCCCCAGTCCTGCAAAGAACCATATCTTGTCCAAACCAAGTTAAGGTTTTTTTTGATGTCCCCCTGTACCAATGATGTATGAAAATACATTTGGGGGGAATTTGTATATGCTATTTAGCAAGACTCCCCTCTTCTCCCCTCCCTCCCTCCCTCCCTCCCCTTTTTTAAACCAAAAGAAGCTAAAATGGCATTTAGACAAGTAGATGCTGTGATGCAGATGTCCATACCAAAAGGTTTAACAGATTCACAGAGTAATACTGAAGTTACATTAGCCTATATTGTACTATTTAAGGTAAAAATATGAGCACCTTTTTAAGAGGTGTTGGTCTCTTTGCTTTAGGGACTTCTCTCTGTTTCCCTTTCTTTACCAAAGGAGCGCTGGAATCCAAAGGGTTATGAGGCATCTTTTCTTGGTTTAACCGGTGACTTTTTATGGCTGTAGCAGGTTCTTTAGAAAGCAATGGTATGGCACCACCAACTGAGATTAAAAAAAAAACAAACACTTCTGCATCAGACAACTATAAGAAATACCTAACCTAGAATCCAATGCAAGTTTAATGACTGGATTAGGCCTAGTATACACATAATTAATTTGTGTTGTGTTGCTATCAAGAATATTTATAGGCAATCATGTCATTAAACAATGTTATTTAATAAAGATACTCCTCCCAAAAGACTGACATGTCCTCTACCTTTATTACACAACTAGAATCACAAGCTCTGTCCCTGAACTCTCAAAAGCAGAATTTGGCAAAACGCTGCACTGCAAGCTACCTTCAACACCACACCATGCTGGCTTGGTAAATCTTCAGGAATCTCCATGTTTCATGGTAATGGCATTTCCTCCTCCACAGATTCTGTACTGTATTAAGATAAATACTGAGTTGCAGTATTACAGATTTTAGATTTAATTGCTGTAAATAATCTGGAGCACTTATTCCTACCAATGAAGTTGGATGAAGTTCATTTACAGATGGGTAATGAGTAATGCAAAGCTACAGCTAAGCCTCTCTTGCTTAACTAGCACAGCTCTCGGGAGATGTCTACTTGCATTTTTTAGAGGGTTTAGAACATAGCTTTAAATTACTGGCCAAGTCACTGAACCTGGATCTTCCAAACCATGACTTCACACCCTAAAAACTGCTCTCCCTTTTCAACTTGCTATCAGTAGGAATTGCTGTATCACGTGAGAGCACTTTGTCAAACTTCAGTTACCTGCAATATAAACCAGGTTACATTAACAAGTCAACGAAGAGGATGACATATGAATCAGTGGAATGAGCTTGACACCTTTGAACCTCAGGCAAACTCTCTCCCCTAAAAACTACCCAAAGCTTCCGGCAGCTTTTTTTAAGCCATCTTCATTTACCGCTTCCACAGTATTTATATGCTGATCCTCCAACACCACACACATAAGTACTTCTAGCATAAACACTTTACTACATAAAACTGCTACACCGCAACTTTCCTTTTTTGGCTCTGTGTAACAAAAGCAAATTGAGCACCCTGCCGAGAATGTTGTGCAGTATGTTAGCATAGGCGGCTACAAGAATTGAAGCAATACGTAAGTATACATCCTGCAGACACATGGTATTTCCTTCACTGTGTACATCACCACTTCAAATTCAGAGTTCTCATGTTCCTGAACTTGATGGCTTTAACAGTTTTACGTCATTTAGCACAACTGATGCATTTCCAAAATGTAATTTAAATTCAGATAATTACTGCTTTACTATGCTGTTCCATCCATACATTATTTACCAAAGTCAGTAGTAAGTGGAATGAAGTAACTCTGCAGTCACACTCCTTACCCTGCTTGTTCACTGTGCTTCTCTTCTGGTTACAGAAGTCAGCACAATGCCACTTCACAAACTGAAGTTACATTTGGGTACACACCAACTTAATGGGTGCACTAAATGTTAAAAAAAGTACAAAGCTGAGGTAACATCCACTTTAGACTTCCAAGTTACAAAAATGACACATCAGTTTCTCTTCTGCAGCAAATTCAGACACAGGCAATTTAACATCAGAAAACAGGTATTATAACCCATACTTTTCTGCTCCGCCATCTACTCCGCAATCCACACACTGTGTAATTCTACCTCTGCAGCATTGAGTTTGACTGACTCAAATTAAAAAACGGTTTCTTACTCTGCTGTATCAGCTGAAGAAAAAAAAAAAAAAAAAAAAAAAAAGACACCAATTGCAGAAAAAGAATTTTAAAAAACATCTAAGTTCTCTCAGTGAGGGAAAAATCTCAGCAATATCTGGTATTTTGAGCTTTTTATTTAAAAGCTCAGCTATCATATTGTGAGGTGAATTCTCTTGTGATTAGCTCTCTGAAATAATTTTTTAATAAATTCTTTAATTAAATAAGGAGAAAAATTTTATCATCATTAAATTCTAACATCGTATTTCCTTTTGCAAAATGTACTGCACTAGCATAGCAAAGACTAAATTCTGATCTACGATAAAAGAGACACTGAGCTATTTCTTTCTGCTTCCTAATTATGTGTCCACAAAGTCTGAGAGATTCTCTCCATCACCAAACTGTAGCATTTTGTTAACAGCAATTATTTTGCAATTATCAGTCATGGCAGAACTCATCCTTTGTCTCGGGCTGATTGTTTCTCACATAACCCCTGTGTTTGCAATGGAGTTTAAAGGTTTGACTTTGTGCTTACAAAGGAGTTTGCAAACTTCACTCAAGTTACAGCTCTAGGATGTCTAGCATCAGAGGAGCTTAACCAAGCCTTTGTTACTGTGAAGCCCCTTCCTGTAGACTCACATCACAACAGTAATACACATATTTAAGACAAAGCAAAAAGCTCCACAAACATCAGTATTTTCGTCAGAGCCAAATTTCAATCACCTCTCATATAAGGTAGCCTTTTACAAATCACTGTCTTGAAGATATTTCTTTCCCCAAGTCTTCCTCCAAACAATTCAGATTTCCATGCTTTTTAAAGAAACTTCATTTTCTCATTTATCTTGTGAACTGTGTTCCTGCCTGCATATTCAGATAGCATTACAGATCAGGAATCAGGCTACGTTTAACATTTGAATACTTAAAAACAACTCAAACTGGAAGAAAGGAAATTTCATCGTAACCAATACCTGAAAATACCACAGGTTTAGAAGACTGTTTTGACTTCTCTGTTTGCTGCTTCTGCTCCAACACTGCCAGCATGCCACCCAAATCCAATTGCACGGGAATTTGACTCTTCTTACCACTGCTCCTGGATGTTTCCTGAACAAGTTCAGTACCAATTAGTAATGTTCTCCTTTCCAGAATGTAAAGACTGTATTTTGTGTGGTGTGTAATACACTCAATATCTTTATCCACAATTCTTTCGATTTTTAAGTTCTTTCAATGCAAGTATTTTGATCTTGAAATACACACCAACTTTAATGTGAAAATAAAAAAAAAATCAGAAACAGTTCAAATAACTTTTGAATAGCTACTGGAATAAAGCATAACAGTATAATGTCTTTAATAAAGGAGGTGCTTTATGTCAGGCTCCCACTTTGGTCAGATTGCCATCTATCTTCGCAAAAGAAAAAAGGCTTACCAGAATTGAAAGTTTTGTTTCAAGTACAGAAAAACTACTCAGTGACTCTTCCAGGGTATGCAATTGCAATACACATGTATCATTATCTTCAATGTCTTATTAAAAAAAAGAGGTCATCGTCTTTAAGCACCATCTCCTCATAAGCAGTAATCTTTCTGTCTGCTTTGAAGAGAAGGCAAAAATGGTGTCCCACACTTGGCACCACATTTAATGATGCAGAATATAAAAAGATTACAAATGAATAGTCTAGCAAAGACTACAAAAGGGCAAACTATGACAGCAGAACACTGCTAAGGAAATGACTTGCAGATTTTGTACTTTTAGAAGTCTTATCCTGGAGAATCAATTCATTATAGCTTCTGTTACAAGAGGGTTAAGAAATGTGACCTGCTCCTTCTGAGCCTAAGAGCGTATCTTGCATCAGAGCTATGCCAGAACCTACTCACCAACATGGAGCTACATACTGACGTCACTGTTGCTCTGTATTTCTCCTCCTTGCCCCAAGCTAAATGGATCTCCTAGCCTCCTTGTCTTAAACCAGCAGAACCACTTTTAAAAGGTTCCAACTCCTTAAGATAATCAGTTTGGACTAGATTTATGCCATGATCAAATAAGATTGGTGGAAGAAAAATTCCTGTTATCTGAAATTTGCATACATTAGTGAAAAGCTAGTATTTTTCCCTAAAAACTGTATCACAAACTGCAGGCTAGCAATTACTATCACTGAGTGCTTCTAATCAAGAGGCTCTTTTGAGCCATTTTGAGTTGTAAACTTATTTTTGAACGTGAACTCAGTTACCTGCATTTTCTTTCTTTCTAATATAGAAGATGAAGCCTGCTTCCCTGATAGTCCATGCACCTTGGAAGTTCTATCCAGTGTGGGAGACCGACTATCCCAAGGCTCTTCAGGGAGATGGATCTTCGAAATTTAGAGACAAAAGTGGTGAGGAGGAAGAGAAAATATTTAAAGACACATGGAAAAGAATAAAGTGAAGATGATAGTAAGTTCAAATGGAACATAGACAATGGGATTGAGTGCACCCTCGGCAAGTTTGTGAATGACACCAAGCTGAGTAGTACAGCTGATATGCTTCAGGGAAGGGATATCATCCAGAATGACCTTGACAGGCTTGAGGAGCAGGCCTATGTGAACCTCATGAAGTTCAACAAGGGCAAGGTTCTGCACCTGGGTTGGGGCAATCCCCAGTATCAATACAGACTGAGGATGAATGGATTGACAGTAGCCCTGCAAAGAGGCTTGGGGATACTGGCGGACAAAAGACTGGACATGAGCCAGCAATACGCACTTGCAGCCCACAAAGCCAATTCTATCCTGGGCTGCCTAAAAAGAAGTGTGGCCAGCAGGTTGAGGGAGGTAATTCTGCCCTTCTGCTCTTGTGAGACCCCGCTTGGACTTCCGTGTGCAATTCTGGAGTTCCCAGCACAGGAAAGACATGGATCTGTTAATGGAGGTCCAGAGGAGGCCCACAAAAATCAGAGGGCTGGAGTACCTCTCTTAGATAAAAGGCAGAGAGAGTTGCAGTTGTTCAGCCTGGAGAAGAGAAGGCTCTGGGAAAACCTTACTGCGGCCTTCTAAAAGTGCGATCATTTATTGGCTCCCATACTATTTAATGAGACTCATTATTTCCTTCTTTTTTTGAGATTTGGAAGAAAAAAGAAACAAAAACCAGCAAGGCAGCTTCATCTTCAAATACCTGTTACAGAGGAGTGGCCTAATGATCACATGTCCCTACAACTTAGGTAAGTTTTGAGAGGTTATATTCCACTTAAAACTACAAAGCTAAAAGGTTTCTCTCATTTGAGGTGCAAGTCTGTATAATACTTTCTTTATAACAAATCTGGTCCAAGCAATTACTTTCCCTTTTCTTGCTCATTCCTCCCTGTCAATGCAATTTACTGCCTCAAAGCAAACAAGGGGTTTTGTATTTTGTGATTTGTTTTGGGGTTTTTTTCAACCACTAATATTCACAGTGAAACAAAACAAAGGACAACAATTTCTAGCAGCAAAACTAGTTTCAAAGAGAAACCTGGAATTTCACCTTTATTATTTATTTGCTTTGCAAGAGCAATCATATCTCCAATCCTTGTGATTTACGTTTGGGATTCATTCACATATTGAATTAATTTCCAAATTAATCCTTTGGATTCATTTCACTCATGTAAAAAAAAAATAGCTTGGATTTGTAATTGATATTAAGACTCAAATTTTTACTTGTGCACAGCGTGAGAACAATGTGTTATACTGTTCAGATGCCCTTGAAATTTGAATATATGAATCACAGAATCATAGAATCATTTAGGTTGGAAAAGACCTTTAAGATCATCAAGTCCAACCGTTAACCTAACACTGCCATCCTACCACTAAACCATGTCCCTAAGCAAACAGCAAAGGCAGGAATTTAAAGAGTGTTAGTATTATTTTTATTAAATGCAAAATAAAACCAGAGCACTACCTGTAGGAAAATAAACTACATGAACAGAATTAATCTCAACTAACTTTGAGTGTCCACAACACAGGTGTCTATAGTGGAATTAGTAGCCCAGAGTTTAGGTAGCTGTTCAGAGACCAAAAAGGTATATCCTTTGGAATGATATGAATCTATTGGATACTGAATTCATTGTCCACAGAGTACCTAAGGAGATCGCCATGGGCAGAATCTCACATCATAAGCATCTACATTTAATCAAAAGAATTTCACCTTTTGTCTCATTTAAAACTTGCTGTCCTTTCTTGCTTGTTTTCTAAGATCCACAAAATGTTGCAAGATTACTTACTTCAGACTGCTTTCTGACAGCAGGAGTAAATGATTTCTGAGATCCTTGTCCGTTTCTCCTATCAGAAGCAGCTGCCAGGTCAGGAAACTCCTCAGCATCCTAAACAAATAAATTAGAAGATGATTTTATAAGAACTATCAAGCCCATATTCTCAAAACTGAGTTTTCCTACATTCAAATTATTTTCTCCCTGCTTATCAAACATTCATCATAACTTGTTTCACTGTACAAAAATTCAGAAGCCAAGTGCAATGCCACCAACTATAATCAGTACTACAACAGTTAAGTCACCTATGTGGCAGCTCATTCAGGGCTGAAAGAGCTTACAAGAGAAATGCTTCCAACAGCAGCTTGTTATTGCTGTCAGCTGATACAAGTAATTAGAGGTAAATGGCTCCTAAAGGAGTGTTTTTCAGACCATTTAACAGCCTTGCAAACAACTTTCCTCTTCTTCCCATACAGTCTCCAGCTGTGTAATTCTGCCTTAAACATGTGAGTGGTGAAGAACAAAAAGGGCAGGCAAAAGGGTAATAACTCTTGACTACAGTATGGAAATAAACAGATAAATCACTCAAGTGATTATGTAGGCTTAGACACAGGAGTAAATTTTATTAGCAGAGGATACATTATCAAGACTCCAGATTAACTAAGTGCAGACAGGCTGGAGCTTGCTCTACACTGGTAATATTATAGGCACTACCTCAATCATGATGATCCTGATCCACCAGCTTGGTTGTCATTCAATTGCTTCTCCTACCACTTTCTGAGAAGCCTTTTTAGCTGTGATACAATACTACTGAACACACCAATACTACTTCTGCAGCCTAAAGACTTCATTTAAACAGCCCAAGCTAGGAAGGTCTATCTTAAGGACAGACACATCTCACTCAATGAACTATTTTTCAAGAAGCTTGGAAGTATGCTAAAAGACGACTGCAAGAAAGGGAAAAATGTTTCACAAACACTCTTCCAGCCTAGTGGCTTCTTGAACCAGAGGTAGTACCTTTGCATTTAAATAGCCCTCATTAGAATAAATTTTTATTTGAGTCTGTCCAATCATTTCTTGAATCCAAGTAAGTTTCTGGTATCTGCAACATCCTGTAGCAAAATGAGTAATTAAAATCTAGCACTCAGTGTGACGTTACACCTCCTTATATTTCCTCTTGACTCATCACCTATAAGAACCAGAGGACATCAAAAAAAATTAGAAAGATCAAGTAATTTCCTTTTTATCCCCTTGTCACTTCCGATTCCCAGTTAGCCATCTATTTTACAGACTGAGAAGTCCTAGTTTATTCAGTCTTGCCTCCCACAAAAATTGCTTCATACCTTTGATTATTTTGGAGCTTTTTGTCTATCTTTTCTAGTCAAGTGTGTATATTTTTTTAAGGAGTGGGGGAAACACAAGAAAACAAAATCCACACTATATTTAGATTGGACACAGCCTAAATTTTGTATTGTCATAATCCATTTTCTTTTCTATTTTCCTAATAATTCCCAGCACTGTTTCCATGTTTGACCAGTACTACCAGCACTGACCTGACTATCAATAGTAGCATCAATTTTTTTCCCCTCAGGGAAAACATCTAGCTCAGGGCCTACCAGTGTGTACGGAAAAACAGGATTACTTTTTCCCAGATGCATCCATTTATGCTCATAAACAGTGTCTATAAATAAGTGACTTTTATAAAAGTGATCCAATATACTGCTCCGGTGAGCTGCTGCACGTAGCAGAACCTTCTTAAATCTCCTGGGTGCCCAGAAGTTCTGTTGCATTTCAAGAGCATCATACAAGTGTCTCACCCATTTTACAAACTGATGAGCAGACAAGCTTTCCCATCAAACCAGGAAGGTCTGAAAGCTGTCCCCCACTGCCACAACAGATTCTGAATCCACATAACGGATTTCAGTACAATTGGTACATCCCATTCCATGATTCTATGCCATCTTTTTCCACCTTCCTACCATTTTCCATGACTCCTTCCACTCTCTTTCTGTTTAGATGCTAAGTCATTTACAGGTCAGACAGTGTATGGTAGCATATAGTAAAAATGGGGATGTTCTCATGAGGGGAAGAACCTGCAGATCTACCCATAATTCTCTAAGAAAGAGGCCTGTAAACAGTCATGTCTTGTGCTATTCCAGGACAATGAACCACTCAATGAAAAGGACATATAGCCACAGCTTTGCTCCATGTTCCATGTGAAAACATACAGAACAGAAGCCAGCCAGGAAGGTTTCTTTATGCTGTTATTTCACAGACTGAACATTATGTACACCAGATCAAACATGTAAATCAACCCATGTACATAGTGCTGTACAATATTGGGCTTTCAATGAAACACTGTTAAACCACAGACGATACAACAATTCTCTCACGTGGGAGAGTCTAAAGCCTAAACAATACTGATACACTGAAGTATCAAAATACTAGTTTGTCTATTACAGCTACATGAACTTGAAAAAAAGCTGGAATGAGCAATCAGGAATGTGAGCAGTGACAATTGTTTTCCACAGAAATTGCTTCCAGATGTGAGATGTAGGGTAGAATTGTAATACCAATACCACATTCTTTAAAATTGTGGCATGCTATAGTACCCAGTATATTATTCCCCATCCCTTGGGCACTTTGCTTTCTGCAACAGTTACTATAGTATATTTTCAGTTTAGGAAGTTTGACTTCTATGGTTATCTGTTAGCATCCAGACTCTCGGATGCATCATTCCAAATTTGCTCCTAGGTCTCTTCTGCCCTATTCTGTACTCACTGAATATGTGATAAGTCAAAACGCACAACCATTCCCTACCAGTAACTTCTGACAAACATCTCAACTGAAATGGACCTGAACCAAAATTCCTCTACAAACAGGATTTGAACTTAAGTTTGTACAAAGCTGTGTTAAGATTTGGTCTTCCAATACACTTATAACACTTGAAAGAACAACAACAAATATGTCTTTACTGTACCTCAATCCTTGGTGGTTCTGGTATTGTAGATTCATTTTGAGGCTTCTCTACATTACTGGGCAACTTCATTTTTTTCTTCTTTTTCTTCTTTTTTTTCTTCTTTTCTGACCCTTCTTCAGGCTCAGTTTCACTGGCATTATTTTTTGTTTCTGACTGCTGAAAACAAAATCATGAGGCATGACCACCAGAAATTAATTTATTTCAATACCACCTACCAAAATAAATGCAAGTGACCACATTTATACAACTAAAGGGTATCTTAATCAATCGAGGTTAGAACGTTAAGTGGACAAGATCTCTTAGAAGTTCAGAGCTACTGCAAAAACTCTTAATTTGAAGCACATTGCATGGTTATCAGAACATATCGTGACTACTGAGATTTCAACAGGAAATATCTACTCAAATACGGCAAGAGTTCCATGTTTCATGTTTCATTCTAAGCATCAGGAATTTGAAAAAAATCCAGCCTAAAAGTAATGTATTCGAATCAGCTGTTTTTGAAATCTGTGTTGCTGGAGTAGCACAGCATCTTGTTATTCTTTTATACTACAAGAAAAGAAAAATTCTAGTAAGGACAAGGTAATTTTGTATTACTTCTTAAAATCTACATTAGAATTGGCCACTGTACAAAGCCTAGGAAAAAAATGGCAATGTCTCACATCAAGAGACACAATCACACAGTGACAGAAATTAGTTTAGAGCAGACAGTTCTCAAGTACCTTTGCTTCACTATTCTGCTTCCCTTTGCCTCTGGAAAGACCTTCAGATGCTGGTGATGACACAATTTTCTTTGGGGGCTGTGAAAGTACCATGGCCCAAGACACATGTGGCTGAGCAGAGCCATCTGCAGGTGCTTCAGGAAATGCCGTTGAGAAAAAAAGGGATATACAAAGATGTCTCAAAAATATTTCTCAAATATTCAGAAGAAAAAGGCTAGATAATGAATTAATCAAGGACTAGCAAATACAGCAGAGCGCCATATTCCTTCTGAGGAAGGACTGAAATAAGACACCCACACATTTCATTTCTCCAGAAGGCTTTCTAGAATTGCAACTACTCCATATATTGTCCAGTACTATATACATTCACTTAGCCCAATTAAATTATAATTGGAAATCCATACTGTGTCATACTCTTTACAGAAAAATAGTTCCATGCTCATTTTCTAAGCTATTTTTCTTTAAAATAATGAATTTCTGCTACATTTATATACAAGATTCCTTAAATATTTATCCCACTCAAGTCATTCAGCTTTCATGTACAAGGCCACATCAGTACTTTCTACTTTCTAAAAGCTTCCCAGTTCTACAGAGATATATACAAGCTGAAAGACTTCCTAACGTGCCTCAGTGCACAAGAATTTCACCCACTATCACCCAGAGGTATCAATGTTGTGAAAGAACTCACACTTAATTAATTTTGTAAGCATTCCTAACACAGAGCAAATACAGACAAAAATTTAAATTTTTGTCTGTAAGAATGAGAAAAACTGTGAGAAGATGGGTACTGCCAGCCCCAGCCAGCTCCAAAACAGACCCACTGCCAGACACAGTTGAGCCCATCAGCGACGCTGGTGGCACCTAAGCAATACACATGTTTAAGAAAGCGTAAAAAACACTGTGCAGGGGTTGTGAGAGGGAGGGGTAAGAAAAAAAATGAGAGAGAAACAGCCCTGCAGACACCAAGGTCAGTGAAGAAGGAGGGGGTGAAGGTCCTCCGGGTGCTGAAGTAGACATTCCCCTGCAGCCCCTGGAGAAGACCATGGTGGAGCAGGCTGTCCCCCTGCAAAGGAAGGATCAGCAGAGAGGAGCTGTTATGAACTGACTGCAACCCTCATACCCCTGTGTTGCTTGAAGGAGTAAAGATGAGCCTGAGAAGGGGGTGGTGGCAGTGTTTGTCTTTGTTTTGCATCATCCTACCCTCTTTTTAATTGGCACCAAATTAATCTTCGCCAAGTTGAGTCTGCTTTGCCTGTGATGGGTGACTGGTGAGCAATCTCCTGATCTTGCCCCCCAAGGTTTTTTATCTTATTTTCTCCTGTCCTGCTGAAGAGGGAGAGTAAGAGAGCAGCTGGGTGGAGGCCTGGCCGCCAGCCAGTGTCAATCCAGCACAAACTGCTACTTTATTCTGGGGGACAGGAACGGAGGATAGTGTTTGGGGAAAAAAACATTATCTTTAAAGTTTCTGGGACAACTTTATCTTTAGAGGGCCCTTCAAGGCACTTCAGCAGATTAACCTGTCCTTTCTGAATCCTTACTGAAGTCAGCGGGAAGATAAGGATGTCTGTGTATACATGGAAATCCAGTGAGAGGCACTTAAGACAATCCAATACAAAATGCATGTGACGCCTTGCCAGACAGAGTCCTGCTGTTTTTTTTTCACTGAATTTCAGATTTAAGTATTTCAATTAAATTCAAATACTTACTTGAAGCCAGCCACTTGATAGTTTGTGTCAATTTAGGAAAAAAAAAAAAATTCTGCATCCCCACAGCCAGACAACAGGTAAACAAAATAAAAAAAAGGGGATATTTCAGCATCACAGTCCTCCACAGCTATCCTTCTTTGTTTAACAGACTTGACAGAAATAACATATGCCACAGAATTTTTTGGTACATACTAGGCTCTAGACTGCCAGCTATTTAGAACAAATCTCCTTAGCAAGACTCATCAAATATTTACCTCAAATTTATTCTTGGAAAAAATCTGAAAATGACTCAACAGACTTCCAATAATCCATATGCATTACTTCTTTCCTCTTAAACAACATGGGAGGCAATTACAGCAATATCTGCCTTCCAGCTTCAGTGAAACAACAGAGAAAGAAGGTAATCCCAGTTTTGACCCACTAATGATATCTATAATCAAGAATAAGTTCTAAATGGTCGTCTTATTTGAAAGAAACTGATAAAGCTTTAGTTGTTTGGTTTTTTTCTTTTAGAATCATAGAATTCTAAAAGAATTCAGAATACTTTGTTTTTTCCAAATTGGTGAGACATAAGCAGTTAAAATATGGGGAAATAATTCCATCTGGAGCCCTTACCTCTACCATCAAATGAGGAGGGAATTGAGCTGGCCACCGGTCCATCTGAAGGCTTCGATGAAGCTTTGCTTTCTGCATATGTATGTTCCTGTAAAATAGACAGTCGGGTATCATAAAAGTAGATCACTGACCTAAAGAGAGCTAAACCCAAAACACTCCATA